TTCCCTTAACCTCCTTAATCCATATGTTCATCAAAAATGGGATGGCAGAGGAAGGGGGGAGCGACACTGGCAATGCCAAGCCAGGTGGCAGCAAAGTCCATCAAGCGCCTGCCATGGGCAAGGCCACCAGTGACAGGTAGCGTCCGATTTCAGAGCTGAAAGGGGCCTTCACGGAAATCTGGCTCAGCCCCGTTGTTTTTCCAGAACGAAGGAGGCTGGAAGAGGGTTGCTCCCCACCTTGGGGCGCAGCGTGACTCAGAAAGCAGCTGTCGGGTGAGCTGCCGCCACTTCTCCTTTGACAAGCCAGGTGAGGGCAGAAGTCGCACCCTATCTGACCGCAAAGGGGACTGAGAAAATCGATCAGGTTGTGACTTCCCCCCTCAGGCCTAGAAAAAGGGAGACATTCCTGTCAGGATCCCCACGCTTCAGAGAAAAGCCCCATAGAGTGACAGGGTCAGAGCTGCAGGGCCCTCTGGGGCCAACGGACCAAGCCCCAATGGTACAGTCGACTCTGCTGAGGCCAAGAGGGGTCGACAGCTCAAACACCAAAAGATTATACAATGAGGAAGCTCCTCACGGACATATGACATGTGTCCAGGATATATTGCTACGTGAAAAATGCAAGGGGCAAAAATGTGTCTCATTTTCCATTGTTTGTATACAAATAAGAAAAAAATTTATTATTCACGTTGGCTCATGTTTGCATAACTACATTCTGGAAGGATTTAAAGGACACTAAGGACGGTAGCTACAGGGTGGAGGGATGATGGGGATGGGGGGCAGGGAGGGAGACTTTTCTCTGCGTTTGTTTATTGTTTGGTCTTTGGACCGTGTGAATGCATTACCTCACAAAGACTGAATATTTAAAAATGGCTTGCCCAAGATCATACCATGTTTCCCACAGGGTGTGAAATGATTGGGTGACGCATAAGACGACTGTAAACAATTCACAAACACAGCACGGAATCGGAATCGTGTGGTGAGAACGTGTTCCCTTTCATCTCTCTGCTGTCCCCATGTCCATCAGGGTCACCGTCTCCGTGTGGCGCTAGTCAGTCTCCAACACCGCTCCAAACCCTCGCGAACCGACTCGTTAACAAAGGAAGCAGGCGTCAGGCCTGAAGCCCTGGACAGCCACAGCGGCTAGCTAAAGTGGAACATTATCGTCTCTGCACTGGATTTACTTGTACGAATACCTAAGAGTGGCAAGTAATGCTGGCTTTTCATTTACAATAGCAATGCGAGGCTTCCTTTTAAAAATTAATTTGAGTAAAATGTGAATGCTGTAAAGAAAAATGCTAAGTCAATCCTAATACCATTGCTCTGTGAATATGGTAACATCATCAAGTGCTAACTTGGCGGCAGAAACTGGGCTGCGTGCCTCCCACGGATGAACATACTTGAGCCCGTGCCCCAGGAGGTGCGGACAAGGACACGGGTACAGGGAGATGATGGGCTCTGCCATGGCTGGCTGCTGGCTAACAGATGGAGCGGGGCGTGGGGACCCGGCATAAGGCCTCCAGCAAGGCCCCACCCCCCAGGGGGTGGAGAGCGGCCCTGCTCCCAGCTCAGTGCTCCCCATCCAGTGCTCCCCCTGCCCGGCCACTTGAGGCAGCTGGCTTCAGGCTTCAACTGGGGCAGCTTCAAATTTCTCCTTCCAAGCTCTGGGTCCCTGAAGCCATATAGTTCCAGCTCCCCCAACCCACAAACCAGAGGAGCAGAGAAACACACACCCCTCTGTAATGCCGCTGGAGCTGTCACTCCTTCTGCTTCTTGAACTTTCTGTCCTTTGCGCTGCTCCTTCAGGCCCTGGGTAGCAAGGAGGCACAAGGAGGGGTAAGCTTGCTCAGCCACGTCGTGCCCTGCTGGGGAGAGGCAGGTTTTCTCTCCATCTAGTTTCGGCAGCAGAGCTCTGCCACCCCCTCCCCCCACCCCCACACAGCCCTGCAGAGACCCCTTGAGAGATCACCGCATTCCTCTTTGTGTCCGCACGCTATGAAAATACCATGCATTTGTGCATGCAGGGGACAGAGGCGCACCCCCACTCGGTGACTGCAGCCCGGCACCCTCACACCCACCTCTGTGCCCTCTGTCCCCGCAGAGCTGGTCTGACAGTGGCACAGGCTGGTGCTGCTGGGTCCCAGCAGGTCGTGAGGCCTGGAGATCTGTATCTGTAACAGGTTTCTAGGAGATTGTGATGGGGGTGACTAGAGGAGTGGCAAACAGCATGGCTGTGGGCCCGTTTGAATCCTAGCTCGACCCAGTTCATTCTGGGTCCTGGGGCAATGTTTAAACCCTTTGCAGTGTCCTCAGCAGTGAAATAAAGATGACAGTGACAGTACCTGTGTCATAAATTTCTAGTGACAATTAAATGACATAAAATGCTTAGCACAGGGCCAGGCACTCCACTTGCTCTCAACAAACACCATCCAGTCCTGACACCCGAGACCAGAGCGGCCCTCGCCGTCCAGGAGCACGGGGAGCAGCTGCATCTCTCTCCTAACAGCTGCGGAGGGGGCGACATTGCTCTTAAAAGCCCAGCACCACCCCAGCCAGGGCTCCTAGGTGCCTGGGATACGGTGGCCACTCTGGAGCTGAGGCCCCTGGTCCAGGCCAAGGTGTGACCTGTGCAGACCAGCCTGGGCACTGGTCCCTCCTTCCCACGCCTCTGTCTGTGTCTCACCCACCATGCCTCGGGTGAGCCCCTGAAAGGTTCCAAGAGGCAGGCAGGGCCGGATCATCATCCTGTCTTACTGATGAGGAAACCAATGCTAAGTGAACTATCCAAGGTCATGGGCCCACGAAGAGCAGAGCTGGGAATGCAAACAGGTTTCCTCCACTGCCCAGTTAGCCACAGGGCAAGGGGCAGCTTTCCTCCCGTCCTCAGGTTCAGGCATCCAAGTGGGCAGAGGCTCTGACCACGGCCCCAGGGCCTGCCCTCAGACTCACAGCTACCGTCCCCAATGAAGGAGCCTAGCCCCTTGCCTGTGCCAAAAGGCCCCAGTCCCAGGGAGGAGGGAGCCAGGAGAGGGCTCCTTGGGGGAACTGAGTCTGTTTCACCTGATCTCAGGCTTGGTGTCTCCCCCTGAGGAGCAGGAAGTGTGGCCCCCACCTCCAGGGACGGCTGCAGGGTAGACAGAGGTAGGGCTTACGAACCAGGGGCTTGGAACTTGTGGAAGGAAGGGCCCAGGAGCCCAGCTGGGTCCAGAGATCTGGCAGGAACAGACGCAAGTCAGATCCCAGAAGCTCCATTCACCAGGTGGCACCAGCCAGGGAATCAAGGCCACCCCGTGGAGGGGGTACTCTCCTTTGCAGCTCCACAGAGACCTGAGCTGGCGGCTCACATGGGTGGGAGTCAGGGCAGCTCTCCCCAGGCAGGTGGGCCCCAAATCCAACCTGACATCCAGACACAGGGCTCCAAGGATTAGCCCTGGAGATGAGCAGAAACCTCCCTTACAATCTGCCCTCTTGGGCGGGATTAGAACCAGCAAGGCGGTGCAGTCCGAGGGCTCCTGTCACACAGCGGGCAGTGGGGAGGGGTGCGGGCAGAGGAGGAAGAGCCCACCCCCCTCAGCGAGCTTCTGATCAGGACACCAGCTAGGCCAAGGCAGCGTGGCTCACTCAGAAAGCCACAGGCTCTGCATCGGGCCACCGGGACAACGAGGCTCAGCCTGCACAGAGTGTGTCCGCGCCCAGGAGTCCTCAGCACAGGCGAGAGCCCCGCCAAGGGCATTCGAACAGGAGGCATGCAGCATCTTATACACTGGGGGATCCACTTTCAATTTATTTCTTCAGAGAGTCCCACACCTTTAAAGGGGAAAATGAAAGGGAAAACCCAGCCCAGAGAGACAAGCAGAGGGGATGAGGGAGTTTAAGGGGATGTGGGGCAGCAACTTCCCTGTGGCTGGTGGGCTAGAGCCTCGGGGGCTTGGGGCCGGGGGAGCAGGTGGGCAGATGTGCCAGGGCAGAAGGAGATGCCACAGGAACAGGCACCAGCCTCTCCTTACCAGGCCCCAGCACAGATGCTGGGAGCCAGACCCCACCCCCAGAAGCACCTAGCACCCCTCTGTTCTCTGCGCCCATCATAAAGGGAACAAGTGTTCCAACTGCCGGGGAAATAAAGCCACAGAAAACAGCCTTTGAGAAGAATCCTGTTCCAACGCCACAGTGCTCCTCCAGGAATGTGTGTGATAAAGGCCCCTCAAGGACAGCAGGCATAGAAGCTTTCGGGAGAAGGTTCTGCTCTGGGCAGTGCAGCAGCTCTCAGAAGCAGGGATGGAACCCCCCTCCTTCTCTCTCCCCCCATCCTCCCCCAGCCCTGGAGACTCCGGAATGTGCCTTCCTCCCCCAGACAACCAAACCCAGAGGATCCTGAGAAGAGAGTGAGAAATCTGGTGCCAGGGCCAGCAAAGTCCTCAGGCTTACCCAGCCTCTCTCGGACCTATAAATAGCCCTCATCCCCCTGTGGGCCCAGAGCCTCAAGCACCCAACACCTCCCCCTGGCAGGGCCCCCACGCAGACCCAGGACTCACGAGCCAGAACGCCAGGCCTCCTGTCACGAAAGCAGGGCATCCTCCACCCACGTGCACTGCTTTCTAAGGACAGTGTGCTGCAGCCAGGGGTGACAAGGCCTCAGGAAGCTGAAAGGGGCTGGGCAAGGGAGAACTCAGACCTGTATCTCGGCTCTCCTGACCCTACAGCCTCACCTGCCTTTCTGGCCAGAGGACCCCGCCCTGCAAAGCTGACCTTCAAGTCCAGCATCTCAGAGTGAGCCCAGAAGTCATCCACGCATCAGCCAAGGGGTCCAAGCCCAGACGTTACTTGGACCTCCCCTCCCAGCTCCGGGACCCGATCAACAAAATATTACAAACCACCCTCCAAGGTCAAATGCCCGCTGCTGCCTGTTCCCCAAACCCAATCACTCCCAAACTACCTTCACCATGTCTTCCAGATCTGCATGTGGCTGTACAATTATTTACAAATTTCTTCATATGGACTCCTTTTTACTTAAATCTACTTATTGAAAATGTCACAATAAATAGAATGCCAGTACCGCTTGTCCTAAACAATAGGTAGCCAATAAAAATATATCATTAAAACAAAACAGTGCTATAAAAGTCTGGAAACTTCTCCCCTGCCCTCAGCCCATGTCCTGCTCCTTAGGAAGAGGGGAAGTCAGCACGCCTTCCAGAGGCATTAGAACATATTGGCACCAAGCTGAGACTTTCTCCTTGCCATAAAAGGACTGAAACAGAATTGGAAAAGGAATCCCCTTCTTGTTCTCATTTTGTGCCACTTAATACAGGCCCTATGCCACCTAAAAACATCTCAAGGGAACCATCGTATGATCCACCCCGTACTTTGGGAATGCTGGACTGGAGTCTCCCTCTGCCTCATGCTTAACACAAGGGGGAAACACACACCTGTGCCCCTTCTCTGATCACACCTTCAGTGCACCACTAGATCCCCTCTGATCTCACACCAAGACCCAGTAAGTCCCTCTCGACACACCCACCCCCGTCAATCAACCCCCAGAGGTCACCGCTGACTCAGGTGGGACACCAGGTAGACCAGGCCCACCAAAAGGAGGCCACGGACGCCGAGCATCATGAGCAGGAAGAGGAGCAGGATGGAGGTCACTGGCTCCACAGCATGGTTGCCAAGATGCCACTGCGGGAAGCCCATGTTCACCAGCTGCCGGTTGAGGTCACTGAAGGGGGACTGAGCAGCACCCAGCCTGATACCTGCCTGCTGCTGACGGGGTCCAGGACCCCCTGTGGGGGCACCATGGCCCCTGTTGAGAAAGCTCTGGAAGGTGAAGACAGAGAGAGGAATGAATCCAGGGAACTCTTCCCTGGAGTTGAGGCGCCAGCCAGGAGACCACCCCTCTAAGCTGGGCCCCGCCCTCCCCTACAGCCATCCTGGGCCACACCCTTCTTTTTCAGCAATCCCAGGATGCCACCCATAAGAATCCCAACAACCGAGTCACAAGCTCTCAGAGCACAGAAAATGGCAGTCCGCATTCCCCATGTCATGCCCAGGGGAGAAGGTGCCCAGGACAGAGAAGAGAGCAGGTGGTTGAGGCAGGTTGGACAGCAGGGCATGGCTCTGGGGCAGGCATTTTTAACACCCATTGCTCCTTTCTTTAAAATGACGATTCTGTGCCATGGGCTCACCTCCTCCACTCCGTCTCCAGCTCCTCTCTCACCCAACAGACTCTTAAAAGAAACATGCCAGCTGCAGTGGGGTTTGCTAAAGGAACATAAGCTCTTGGACTTGAAGTCTGGGGAGGCTGCCCCCCTCCCCGGGCGGAGGGAGAACTGGGGGTTAGGGGCTGGGCAATAATCCACTATGCTCCCCAGCTTTCTGCAAAGAGGGCTTCAGGCCAGCAAAGGTTAATGACCAGCAAGAGAGACTTCTGGGAGCGAGGAGCAACCAGTACAGCAGAGGCCAGCTGTCCCTGCCACAGGGATGGGTACCCACCTGTCGAGGAGTGCTACCTCTCGGTGCCGCGGCGGGCCTCACTCGGGGGTCGTCATCCTGCACGATTTCCCCATTGGCCAAGATCCTCACCATCTTTCCAGGAGCTGTGGGCGCCTGTGGGCTGCACCTGCAATGCATGGCCAGGGTGGGGGCCCGATGGAAGCCATGTGACACAGAAGTCCCCTACTCCCTCATTCTTAACCCTTAGTGATCTATGACCAAAATCATGAGGGCCTGAGGGTGATTCTTCCCCTAACCTCAAAAATCTTGAAGGAAAAAATTTACCAGAAATTGAGGGATGCTTGCTTTCAGTGGTGCTCACACAGGCAACCCACGCTGAGCAGATGCTGTGCCTGATTAATAAGAAGAGAAGAAATAAATGCAAGTTGTTTGCCAGGAAAAAAATCTTTCAGACATTGAGTCCACTAGGAAAACTATGAAAAAGGATCCTTGGAGAAGGAAATTTTATTACCCAGCACTAGCAACTGGGCCTAGAGCCGTTGCTATGGACTGTGGAAAGCCCACGGAGGTGCACCTCACTTAAGCCCCGCGACACCCTTCTGAGGGAGGTACTAGCGCACACAGCTGTTGTGCAGGTTGAGGCACAGAGAAGTTTAAGTGGTTTTCCAGGGATCATACATCTGTGGGCAGCAGAGAAAGAACAGGAAGCCAGGAACTCTAGCTCTAGGGGCCCTCTGGGTACTAAACCAGGCGTCCGGGGCCCCAGGATCCTCAGTGTGGCTCAATTTCCCTTCCGTTAGAAAATGGGTCCAGCATGCTGTTCCCCCAGGGAATAAGTGCCAAGGACCTGGGGCTTTTCCCTCCAGGAACAGGCCCTGGAGATCCGGGCCCCTTAGGGTTACTTTAGATCCACGGCCTGGCAGCAGACCACACTGGCCAGGCAGCCCCTGCGCTGCTCAGAAGAGCACACCTTTGCCGCAGAGGGCCAGCCCCTCACCCGTCCCTCACCGCTCAGGTAACTCCAGTCCAGCCTATGCTAACGGGAGGGCGGCGCCCCGCCTTCTCGAAATATGGCATGGGGATGCTGCGTGGCTCTGGGAAGGCTCCACTGCGCGGGCCCCAGGGGCGTCCCTCCGCTGGGGGCCCTTCCGAGCCTCTCCCCGGGCCTGAGTAAAGGCCATCTGCTCTCAGGAGATGGGCCACAGTTTCCATCTAAACTGTCAAAAGCACCCGCGATACACATGCCAAAAAGGGTTAAGGGCCGCCGCTGTCTTCTTGCCCGTGACCTGGAGCCTGGGACAGGCGGGTCCCCTTTCTGAAGGCTGCTGGGCCTGGAGCAGACCAAGTGGGTCGTGGTCGTCCGCAGTCTCTTTGTGCTTTGTCATCCCGCCCCCGCCGGGTGGGCCACAGGCGCCGGCCCTCGGCGCACCTGACGCCACGGGTGGGGGGCCGCGCATGGACGCTGCCCGGGCCGCCGAGCCCCGGCCGCCCGAGTCCAGGCGCGCGGAGCGGCGAGGGATGCGCGCCCTCCCGGCTGGGTCACCCACCTGCAGGCGCGGCTCGCGGCCTCGGCGGCGTCCACTCGTGGCGACTGCGGGGCCGCTTCCTCCCACCTGACCTCACAGGAAGCGCGCGCCGGAGGGGCGCGGCCGAGCAGCGGCGCAGCAGCCCCCTCTGCAGGCCTCCGGAGGGACTGCAGCTGCCGGCTCGGGCGCTGGCCATGCAGGGCGAGGGAGGGCCGAGAAAGGGGGCGACAGACCGGAGGGCAGGGGCCGCTGACGCAGGAAGGACGGGGAGGAGAACAGAAGTGGGGAAGAAGAAGTAGAGAAAGGAGGATGGAGAAGGGGAGGAAAGGCGAGCGGAGCCCACAGAGGAAAACCCGAGGAGGTGGCGGAGCCCTGGGCTGGGAGAAAAGGCGGGCACAGGCTCAGAGCACGAGGGTGACTTTGCTGAGCCAGCTCCGTGCATGCCCCTAGAGTAAGGCCCAACCCAGTCCTCAAGGAGCTCCAAGTCCCGTAGGGAAGATGAGGCTTGAACAGGGCAGGTACAGCTAACTGCAGCAGGCTTCCTGGAGGAGGTGCCTTTGAGCTGGGACCAGAAATACACCGTGGCAGAAGGCGCCACCTGGAAGGAGTGAATGATCAACCTCTGCCTCCTTCCTGCTCCTAGCTCATTGCTTCCCAACACCCTAGAATGCTGCTCTTATCTGCATCATCAAAACTGGCTCACCAACTTCTTTGACATGTGCAGCCCACGGAAAGGCAGGAAGGAAGAAATGGAGGGCTAATCATTTATTTTAAAGTGGATGTAGCATGCACAATTTCCCTCTCATTCGTTGGCAAGAATGAACCACGTGGCTACAGGGCAGCTAGGCTGCAGAGTCTCCAGTGACATCCCTGTTTCATTCCTGATGTTTGTATTTGTGTCTTCTCTGTTGTCTTTCACTTTTGCTAGAGGTTTGTTAATCTTATCAATGTTTTCAAAGAACTAGCTTTTGTGTCACTAATTTTTCTGTTTTCAATTTCATTGATTCCAGCTCTTATCTTTTTTATTTCCTTTCTTCTACTTGCTTTGGGTTAATATTGCTCTCCTTTTCCTAAGTTCTTAAGGGGGGAGCTCGGATTATTGATTTGAAACTTTTTCTCTTTTTCAGTGTAAACATTTAGTACTATAAGTTTCCCTCTTAGCATTCTTTTAGCTGTGCCCCACAAATTTAGACATGTTGTGTTTTCATTTTTATTTAGTTCAACATATTTTCATTTAAATTTTTGCTACTTCTCCTTTAACCCATGGATTATGTAGAAAGGGGTTGTGTAGTCTCAAAGTGTTTGGAGATTTTCTGTTATCTTTCTGTTATCAATTTCCAGTTTAATTCCATTGTGGTCAGAGAACATACTCTGCATGAGTTCAATTCTTTTAAATTTGTTGAGGTTTCTTTTATGGCCCAGGATATGATCTTTCCTGGTGAGTGTTTCGTAAGTGATTGAAAAGAATGTGTATTCTGCTGCCTTTTGGATGTAATGACCAACAAATCTTGACTGTATACTGTTGGTTGATGATGTTGTTGAGTTCTTCTATATCTTTGATGACTTTCTGTCTAGTTCTATCAATTGTTGAGACAGGGGCATTGAAGTCTCTACCTATAATTATAGATTGTCTATTTCTCCTTTGCTTCACATATTTTGCAGCTCTGTTGTTTGGTGCATACACATTTAGGTTTGATATGTCTTCTTGGTGTATTGATTAATTTATCATATATAATGTTTCTCTCTGTGTGTCTCTGGTAATTTTTCTTGCTCTGAAGTCTACTTTGTCTGTTTTCTTTTAATTAATATTTGCATGATATACCTTTTTTCCATCGTTTACCTTCAACTTGACTATATTGTTATATTTGAAGTGAGTTTCTTATACATAGCGTATAGTTAGATCATGTTTTTAAATCCATTGTGCCAATCTGCCTTTTATTTGGATTATTTAGACCATTACATTTAATGTAATTACTGATATCTTGGGGCTTAAGTCGCCCAATTTATTTTTTGTTTCTGTTTGTTCTCTGTCTTTCATTTCCCTGTATTTTCCCTGCCATTCTGTGGGTTGCTCGAACATTTTATAAAATTCCATTTTGCTTTATCTATAGTATTTTTTAAGTATATCTCTTTGTATAGCTTCTTCAGTGGTGGCTCTAGGTATTGAATTGTATATACATATCACAGTTTACTAGGGTCATCATCTTACTACTGTGGGTGAAGTATAAGAACTACTTTCTTGGCCGGGCACGGTGGCTCCGCCTGTAATCCTAGCACTCTGGGAGGCCGAGGTGGGTGAATCGTTTGAGTCAGGAGTTCGAGACCAGCCTGAGCAAGAGCGAGACTCCGTCTCTACCAAAAATAGAAAGAAATTAATTGGACAGCTAAAACTATATAGAAAAAATTAGCCAGGCATGTTGGCACATGCCTGTAGTCCCAGCCACTTCAGAGGCTGAGGCAGTAGGATCGCTTGAGCCCAGGAGTTTGAGGTTGCTGTGAGCTAGGCTGACGCCACGGCACTCTAGCCCAGGCAACAGAGTGAGACTCTGTCTCAAAAAAAAACCAAACAAACAACAAAAAAATAACTACTTTCCTTTATATTCCTTTACTCTCCCCATTATACTGTAATTGTCTTAAATATTTTCTATATACACATTTACAGCCACATCAGAAAGTGTTACAATTTTTGCTTTAATTGTCAAATATAATTCATAAAATTCACAGGTAGAAGGAAAACTTGTCATGTTTAACCATATTTTTGCTTACCATGTTATTTCTTTCTTCCTAATGTTTCAAGGTCTATATTGTTTCCTTTCTATATGGAGAATTCCTCTAGCCATTTTTTTATGGTAGGTCTCCTGGTAATGGATTATTTTAGTTTTCCTTCATCTGAGAAAATCTTAATAATCTCTTCATTCCTGAATGATATTTTCACTAGGTATAGAATTCTGTGCTGGCCAGGAGCAGTGGCTCTCATCTGTAATCCCAGCACTTTGGGAGGCTGAAGTGGGAGACTGCTTGAGGCCAACAGTTCAAGACCAGCATGGCCAACAACATAGCAAGAGCCTGTCCCTACAAAAAATTTAAAAATCAGCCAGTTAGTGGTGCATGCCTAGAGTCCTAGCTACTTGAAACGCTAAGGCAGGAGGACCACTTGAGCCCAGAAGTTTGAGATTACAGTGAGCTACGACTGTGCCACTGCACTCTAGCCTGGCTGACAGAGCAAAACCTTTTCTCTCAAAAAAAAAATAAAAAAGAATTCTGTGTTGACAGTTCTTTCTTTCAACATTTGAAAAATAGCATACCATTTCTTTCTGGCCTCCACAGTTTCTAATGAGAAATCTGCTGTCATTTGAATCATTTTCCCCTAAAGATAAGGTGTCATTTTTCCTCTGGCTGCTTTCAAGATATTTTCTTTGTCTTTTATTTTCAGAAGTTTAATTATGATGTGTTTAGGATGGATTTCCTTGGGGTTTTCCTATTTGGGATTCATTCTGCTTCTTAAATCAGTAGTTTTATATCTCTCACCAAATTTGGAAAGTTTTCAGCCATTATTTCTTCAACCTCACTCTTTCTTCTCTCCTTCTGGAATTTCAATGATATAAATATTAGACCTTTTGTTATAGTCTCACAAGTCCCTGAGTCTCTGTTCTTTTTTTTTTAAGTCCATTTTCTCTCTATTGTTCAGATTGTGTAACTTCTATTGTTTCATCTTCCAGTTTATTGATTCCATTCTGCTACTGAGCCCATCTACTAAGCCTTTTATCTTGATTATTGTATTTTTTATTTCCCCTTTCCACTGGTTCTTCTTTGTATCTTCTATTAATATTTCCATTTTTTTCTTTATATCTTCTATTTCATTGTTGAGTCTTTCTGTTTCTTCACTATTTCAAGTGTGTTCATAATTGCTCAATGAAGTATTTTTTATTATGGTTGCTTTAAAATCTTTGTCAGGTAATTCTAACATCTCTGTCTCTCAGTGTTGGCATCTATTAGTTGTCCTTTTTCATTTGATTTGCTATCTTCTTGGCTCTTAGTTTTGACAAGTGATTTTCTAATACAACCTAGACATTTTCACTGTATGTTATGAGACTCTGGATCTTATTAAACCTTCCATTTTAGTGGGATTTTTCTGTCGGTGGTCTATCAGAGGAAGGAAAGACCTACACTGTTAATGATATGTGGAGGCAGAAGTCCAGGTTCACCGCTCAGCCTCCATTAGTACCCAAGTTGTGGGAAGGAGTGCTCCTTGTTACTGCTGGAGGCCATGGCAGTTTCTGTTCCCTGGATGGTCTCTACTGACACCGTGGTGGGAGAGATGCATTACCAGCTAATGGGGATAAAAGTACTGACTTCCTATTTTGCCTCTAACACTATTCCAGCAGGGATGCCGGACACCTTGTTATAGACTCACAAGGGTGGAAATTTAGGCTCACCACTTGGCCTTTGCAGGTGTGGGGTTTTTTCTGTGGTGTTTGGCTAGAGTAGAGCACTTATTGTCTAAAAGATTTCTGTCTTGCTAGGTACCTTTCCTCCCACTTTTGCTAGACAGAGTAGGTTTTCAGGGGGCTTTTATCGTCTATACCCTTGGCTACTTCCAGGTTGCCAGCCTCTTTAGCTCCTCATCTGGGATATATGAGCCAAAAGGGACACCCAGGGAACTTACCACCATGTTTTCATCCCTCAGATCCAAAGTCCCCCAACCAGTCTGCTTTCTTCTCTCCACCTTTCAAAGTCTTTTTATGATTGTTTTACACATAATGTCTAGGGTCTTTAGTTGTACTTAATAGGAAGAATGGGGG